TTCAATTATCCTGGGATTAACTGGAGTACCGGTAGTTGTCAGTCTAGCAATGATGAATTTTTATCAATCCTTAATTTGCACTGCTGGTCACAGTGGGTTCGTACCCCAACAAGGGGTGATAATACACTTGATCTAATATTTAGTAGAGATATCATTCCCCTATCTGTACAAGTATACAACGAGTTTGAAAGCAGTGATCATAGGATAGTAGCTTGTGCTCTCCCTATCTATCCCTCCTACAACCGACCAATTCAAAGAACCTGCAATTATAGAGACTATAAGCATGCAGACTGGGACCTCTTGCGCTCACTGATCAAACTGTCAGACTGGGATGAATTCTTCTCATGTAATAGTCTGACAGATGCCATCAACATATTCTATTTCATTGTTAACTCTTGTCTAGACTCCTGTGCACCAATTAAGACTTACAGGATTAGTAAACATCACGAATTATATATACCAGCTAAATATCGTAATAAACTAAGACGCCTAAAGAAACGTTATTTTAAATCTAACGACCTCACGGCAGTCACACAAATAACAATAATTTTTAACCAAATTAAAGAGAAACATAGGTTAAAAGCCATCAATGAAGAGCTATTAGCACTACGTACTAGCTCAAAAGTGCAAAACCTTATCCACCTTTACAATAAACGTGCTAAATCAACTCAAAATGTTGATATACCATGCATCCTGCATAATAATAGTTTTATATATGACCCAAAAACTATAGCAGATTTTTTCAGTGGTAATTTTGCAAATGGCAAAGAATCCATAAATGGCTCTGTTTCTAGAGTTATATGCTTGACTGGTAACTCAATTAAATCTATCTCCTTCACATGTCTGAAAATTAGTAAGGTTATAAATAAGCTCAAGGTTTCGAAAGGTCACGGTGCAGACGGGATTTCATCATTTCTCTACAAATATGGTGGTCCAGATATCCAACTTCTTCTCCTTAAACTGTTTACCCTCTCTATGGAATCAGGCTCTTATACTGACCGTTGGAAAACAGCGTACATCATACCACGTTACAAATCCGGAGATAAGACTGACATGAACAACTATCGGCCAATAAATATTACTCCAGTTATCTCTAGGATTATGGAAAAAATTATTAGTGACAAACTATCCAACTATTTATTGATGATTCGCAACATGGATTTTTTAAAAATCGATCCTGTATGACATGTCATTTTGACTTCTTTAATTTAGTCTATTCGCTTCGTAGCCAAGGATATCTAGTATTAGTGCTATACCTGGACATTTCTAAGGCCTTCGACATGGTCAACCACCAACTTCTCATAGGTAAACTCGCATCTTATGGGGTCCAAAACCCGTTACTAGCCTGGTTTGATTCCTTCCTCAACAATCGACATCAAATAGTTAAAATCAACTCTTCATTGTCGAACGCAGTCCCTGTTAGAAGTGGGGTAATTCAGGGTAGTGTCTTAGGTCCTTTGCTCTTTTTAGTTTTCATTAATGATATTTGTGAGTGTTTTAGTGTGGGTAAGTCCCTTCTGTTTGCAGACGATCTTAAGGTGGTGTATTCATTTTCCCCACATGAGCTGAGCAATATTCAAAATTGTATCAGCACGGAGCTTAACAAGGTAGCACAGTGGTGCTCGAAATGGCAACTGGAGCTCAATACAGCTAAATGTGGTTGGCTATGCTTCGGTGATACATCACTCAACCTTAATCTTACCATAAATGGGGAAATGTTATCTAGGTTACACACAGTAGTAGATCTAGGACTTAGGTACTCTGACGACTTGTCGTTTACTGAACACATAATGAAACAAACGTCCAAGTCTCAACGCCTTATAGGTTTCATAACTCGAAACCTTCATAGAAGCGAATCTCGTATATTAATGTACAAAGTCTGTGTTCGACCACTCCTCGAATACTGCGCGTTTCTCCTTAGTAGCACGCGCATAAAGGATAAATTAAGACTGGAATCAGTACAGAGACGATTTACATTTCGTACTCTTGGACCTGATAGTGTCTTGACATATAATTCTAGGTGTAGTAAACTAGGGCTTGACCCTTTATGGAAGAGGAGACTCAAACTTAACCTTATCTTCTTTTTCAAAATACTTAACAAACTCTCCTTCACATCCAGCCAGGCGATTCAATATGCTAAGGCCTCACATTACGACATTCGTAACTCCTTGTCTTTAGCGAAACAAACATATTCTAGATCTTCTCTCTATATGAATTACTTTACTTATTATAATTACTAAACAAGCTTGCTTGGGATGCATACTGTGAACTAGTATATGTTGTAAATTGTAGATCATGCCTGTAAAAATGGCGTGTACCTGCTAATGCAGAAATATATTATTATTATTATTATTATTACTTTACCAGTAAGTTTTCTAGACTCTGGAATAATTTACCCCAAACTATCCGTATGTTAGACTCTCTCCCATTGTTTGTTCGGTCAATTAATGCTTTTTGCTCCTCTGAAAACGCATTAAATGCTCTAGCGCCTGCACGTGTATCTTACTCCACAAGTGAGATTATAGGAACTTTAAATGTTTAACCTCTTACTTGCTATCATTGTTTTGATGTTCCGTGCTCTTTGCTTTAATCTTACTTTCTCTAGTTGTAGATAATTAATAATAACTCGCTCTGGCACGGGTAATAACCTTACAGAACAATGTTGATCAATCATCAGGCTATCCACTTAATAAAAAAAATGACAAGTTCCCTGGTGTTGTATTGGCTTGCCGTGACATATGCCATATTTAAACTATTTATCAATTACTAAACCAGCAAACATAAAACTTTCTTATATTTCATGTTTGTTCTCTACATTAAATGTTGATTTTCTTAACAATCTGATCATGCCTGTAAACTGGTGTGAATTCTGTAAATATTATTTTCAGAATATATTATTATTATTATTATTATAGATATAACACATCCCAAGTCTTGTAGTGAATTCAACTAGTGGTTTGGCCGTAAAATCTACCCCTCAGATTGTCTAACGAGTCAGCATTGGGCTTGTGATTTTGAAACTCACTTCACCTATTAAACAAAGAGGACCGCAACCTGAACCCACCGAAAACATAGTCGATGTCATCTGCAGGATGCCCTACTGCTGACACTGAGTCTGACGATGTTATGCTAGAAGTATTATACTGCTCTATTCTTCTCTGAAACACTCATGTCCTGATTCTAGGGGACTTCTATCTTTCTAAATTCAACTCCGCTGAACATACGTACATTGGAGGTGACAACTCTACTGGAGCCCGGTTCTCTAACATCACTGAAGATTTGTGATTACTCCAAAATGTGAGGTTAGCAACTTGGCAGATACATGGTCAGATGCCATCACGCTCGGAATGGATATTTACAAACGAGGAATTCCTTATCAACAACCTCTCGATCGACACTTTAAAGTCAAGGTCAACTGCACGTTCTTTCAGGCCATGGGATGTCCTAGTGGGGTTCCCCAGGGTTCAGTACTAGGTCCTCTTCTTTTCTTGAATTATACAAACGATCTCTCACCTCAGATGTCGCCGTACGTATTACTTTCCGATGATGATGTGAATATCTGGAGAGAGATACGCAACCAAGAGGAAATTCTAGCACTTCAGGAGGAACTGACTCGACTCCAAAGTTAGGCAGACGACAACAGACTTACCTTCAACACCTCGAAGTGTAAAGTATTCCGTTTGCGACATGTTGCAGACTACAGTTACAACTTAAGAAATTCCTCTCTCGAATTATCCCATGTTGAGAAAAGATTTATGAGTGTTGGTGCCCTACGATTTGAAGTTCAAGTTCGCCAACTGTGACAAAAATGACTTTCGAGCAAACTTTGCACTGGTAATGTTGAAGAGCATTTTTGGCCATTTCGACGGAAGAACATTCCATATAATCTTCGACAGTTTCATTCGTCCTCACTCACAGTACGGAAATATAGTATTTCCTCCCTCACTCCAAAAAGGATAAGGACACACTGGAACGTATCCAACGGCGAGTCACAAAATCAATTTGGAAAATCAAATTAAAGTCTTGTAGTGTAGTGCTTCGTTAATCGATCGTCTCGATAACCGTTATTATATCAATCTGAACGGTGTATAATATCAGGAGACAAAGGGAAGTGGCAACTACATATTTATTGACAAATAACATAGGCTAGAAGGCAGTAAGCACATGAGTAAATGTTAGCGAGCGAAGAAAAAATAACATACATGGGAGATGGCTGGTAAACCAACTCGTTATAAGCAAGCATTAATCAACATTTATAGTCAGACTAAAATGAATGACAGACATGTGATAGGTAGGATAAGAAGGGTGCATACACATACGCTCATATAAAAAATTAGTCAAGATCAATAAGCGAATAATTAACAAGATCAAAATATGACTCATAACGTTATAGGTGAATTGGCTTGTCCAGAAACTAGAATAAGCTATGTAGGTGTAATATAGTACACGACGTTACACTACTCCCCACAGTCTTATGGAGAACGCCCCAAATCACTGGACTTTTACCCATTAGAGTATAAACGTCTTAGAGCTGACCTTCTTATGGCTTACAGTATCCTTAACACTTCTGAGCATCTCCTTTAACACCTACTCAAGATTGGTCCCAACACAAACCTTGGGGTTAACACCCAGAAGCTGGAGATACAACATAAGGTGCAACTAGACCTATTCTTATAGACTAAAGACAGTAACCTTACAATGATTAAATAATTATTTGCTTACTCTTTTGTCGCTAGTATACCTCAGTCATTACTTGAAGGCATCAGTGATCCACTGTCACCAGATACAGAGGTCCGTTAAGCGAAAGCTTCTACTCCGTCCACGACCATTTGAACCATTTGAACTGTCTTGGAATGGATTTGTAACTTTGGTTATGTTTAAATAAGAGTTTAAAACGTGTGATGAATTGGTAATTTTTATGGTACAGGAAACAAAGATTGAGGACCTTCAAATTTTCTTTGCTTATTAATACAGATTGAAAACTGACACTTGTTTTAACCACTTTCCTTTTAGGCGCTCCCCAGGGAATAGTCGGTTTTGTACAGAATGGAGCAGGGGTATGAAAAACGACTATTAGGGTCTCCTTATAAATCAGTATGTGCTTTTTCTTACGTCCTTACTTCCTTAGCCCATTAAGACAGTTAGCCCTATGAAGACTCCAACGAAGGAAAATTACATGGACCGATACATCCCCTTGAGAGCAAATGCACGTTGGAAAACGTCAACATCTTTTGAGGTTAGTTTGCTTATGGTTTTTATTCATTGGAGTGTAGCAAACAAATAGTAATCCGACACGTAAGCTGTTTCAAAGTAGTCGCGGAAATACTGATGGACTCAGTAATGATGTTGTGTCTCCGAATCAGAATGGACATCAAAGTCACGGTCTCGTATCTTTTACTGGAGAAAGTAACTGGGGAACGTCTGGTGTCAATTCGGCCGTGCAGGAGCCTGCACCACAAACAGAAGCGAGAGGCTGTGACCTTCTTTCTGCTCTTGTAGCCAACGAACTCGAGGAAGCTTCATTAGGTGGGGCTTACAGCCCTGTGAATTCAAGATGCAGTTTCGGAAATTCTGGCGTTCTGGCAGCTAGAGAAAACAACAATATGTTTTCCGTAAGTTTAAGTACCAGTATGTTTATTTGTCTGTATTTTCCATGAATCGCATTAACATACTAGCTAGCGCCTACATGAGCTAGTGCTATTCTCAATTTATAAATCCAACAATAATTAAGGTAGCCACTTCGATTCCTAAAGTTCGTCATTAAACGGATGCCTATACAACGAGTCGATGGTCGTAATGTCAGCATTGCAGACTCCGCAAGATGAATTAGTGATTCATGTTGGTGCACCTATCTTTCGAGGTCGTGATTTACTACCCACTCAGCATTTAATAGGAGCGTGTCCCGTAAAGAAAATAAAATCTGTAAGAACTACCATACTTATACCATTATTGTATGCACTGAGTAGTTGTTTTATTAATAGTCCAGACTTAGAACACAGTGAGTAGTCTTCAGGTTGCGAACTTCTAGGCCTTCGTGTCGCTTGTTCTATATCGTCATAGCTTTCCTTAACAGTATTTAAGTCGTTCCTTTTTAAAATTTTGCAAAAGTGGCGCCCCTGTCAAGTAACTTGCGGTATGTCTCAATAAATTAACATCTGATTTCTTGGTAGTTATATATACTAAATAAGTAACGTGGTATTTTGTGAATAAGAACCATTCAGACTAGTTAAATGTAGTGTATCTGTCCGATGGCTTTTTGCAAGCCAACTCTTCTTACTCCCAGTGTTTTATTCAGAGATATTAAATCAACATACCTTGATTCTCTCTCACCGTCACAATGTTTTGTCGTTACCAGCTTCAAGTCAAAATAAAATGTAACTTGGACGCTAGGTAATCAGGTTACGGTAATTTATCAAATAAAGTACATTTTCGTACATTGTTCCACGCTAGTTACTAGTCTAACCCCGAGCATACGATAAATTTACCTGTCCAGTCTTTTTGTACTCTAAAAGACTCGCTCCGTCTACACAAAATGGCTTTGCTTGTTATTACGTTTGACGTATCACTGAACTATTTATTTTCCTTTACAGACAACAGACTTGTTAGTTCATCCTATTCGGTAACCGAATCAGATTCTTGGTCGTCACTTAATGCATAATTAGTTATTTAGTTGCTAGGCTGTCTTATTAGTTCGCATGACATTTTTCACAAAGCTCGAAAAGTAGGTTAAATTGACATTTAAAAGGCTTCATACATAGTTTGTTTTTGACTAGTCATTGCTGTTTTGTCATCCAGTTATATTCGTTTTAATTATTGTTATCCCTCACACCAAATACTATTTATATCACACACTCGTTCCCTAATCTTGTATCTCTCTTGACTAGCTTGTTCCGCTTAAACCAGTTTTTCTGGTGAGATTTTTTATGGTTGCAAATTGTGTGCTTAGCGTCATCTGGTGCTAGATAGTAATAATTAATCTCAAAGCCATATGGTTCCTGATTTCACAACAATATAATACAAGAAAGGACTGTGAAGCAGTAAAACTAGGTGATAAACTTGCTCTCAATTTTACACCTTATGACCAATGTCAGGATTATAGAAGCAACCAAAGTCCCAGTGATCCCCCGTTTTAGTATCTGTTTACCAAATACCCCGTGATCGTCAACTGATTTATACTGGCGACCATCAAATCTGATAAACGTTTATCGTTATACTGATTCTGTAGACATTTTATTATGTCTTCTCCATTATCTCAAACAGTGATTTAGTGGTTTCAGGCAATCTCCCAAAACATTTGTCCTAATTCTATACAAAGTTAATACATTGCTGTTAATTTTTATAAAATCTAATTTTCTCGTTTACTATCATTAAGTAATTATATACTTATAAAATGTGTTCATTTCCCTTTTTTCTTATCCTTGGTATTTAACAGTTTAAGCTTAGAAGAGAGAGTCCATGTAAATTGAAGACATCTCCCTATACCATGTCTCCAGTATCTGAAAAAAGTCAGCATTTGCTGAAGTTTCCACAAAAAGTAAGCATGTGGAGTATGTTTTGAAAATGTGTTTATGTCTTTATTTGCACCAAAAAAGGTCTTTACTTTTGCTAATGTAATACTCAGTCTGTTTGTTTTCATAGTTACCAGCCTTGTAATAAGCTAAATAGTAAACTTGTCAGTAACCGTTATCTTTTATTTATTTTTGACTTCTGTTGCAGCAAGCGCGTAAAATATCTCGGGTACCATATAAAGTTCTAGATGCTCCGGAGCTACAAGATGATTTCTACCTTAATCTTGTCGATTGGTCTTCTCAAAATGTACTGGCGGTTGGGTTGGGAACGTGTGTTTACTTGTGGAATGCTTTCACCAGCCAGGTAAGACAGCCGTGCGTTGACTTTTATTTTAAGTATGTGCTCTCATTTTTACGTTTCGTCCAACTTTTTAAGTACAATAAATATTCTTATTTTTAACTTTTTAGGTCACTCGACTATGTGACGTTTCTGGAGAAACCGATGTCATTTCATCGGTTGCGTGGTCCAAAAAGGTATATCGATAAAACTAACATTTGTAATCATTTATTACATTGCTCATGTTTCGTGCCAGTTACAAAAAATTTGTACTTATCCAGCCGTATAATTTGGCTAGAAAAATTGCTTTTTTATCCATTCAGTTTGCTGTATAATAAACCTGTTTTTCCTGGGTAACTTGCTGAACTAATGCATGAAAAAGGGTAGTAACTGAAATGCAGTTTTTTAACGAAGTTGGTGGTTTATGAAGTGAGACTTCAATAACAACACTCACATTGTTCCCTTTATTTTTCAGTAATATCCAAATTTGTTAGCGTTAGGAAGTCCCATTCTCTTTTGTCGTATACTTGATTCCCAGGCCGTTTATAGAAAAGTTGATTCGGGCTTGTGCTATTAGTTGGCGGGTTGTCATCTTCCCAAAGTAATTTCTAAACTAATTCCCATCTTATTCATACTGGGTTTTCATGATTTCTTTTAGTTAACTCAAAATTATTTAGTTGGGTCACAAAATATAACTAACAACCACGGTGTTTTTTAAAGGGAACTGTTTCACCACATAACCCTCTCAATTGCTTGAATCGCATTACTGCGTTACTACATAAAATACAGTTTTGTTACTGTAAAACTGGGTGACGAATTTAATGACCAGTTATATCTAAACTACTAACTATAGGGAGTTTCCTATTGTCCATTGTTTGTCATCAGTGAGAGTGCATCGAACCTAATTGAAGGGAATATGCGTTAATTATCGTATGTTCACTGTTCCGTACACTTATAGTTAAAGTGTCACTGTTGATTTGTCCCGTAAATAAAATAACTGGACAGGCACCTACTTACACTTGTAGTCTTACTATGTCAATGCATATACACAGCAGATAATACCTTCGAAACAATATAACTATATTAAGGCTGTGTAGTGATAATTCATTCCTCATAAATTTGTTTTGCTCAAATCTACTGATGTTAATTCGCTTTAAATAGTATTTTCGTCTTGTTTTGTAGGGTAGTCATTTAGCGATTGGAACTTATCGTGGTCATGTTCAAATATGGGATGTGACTAAAAGTTCCTGCATACGCTCACTAAACGGACATATCGCCCGTGTCGGTGCTTTGGCGTGGAATGCTGATCTTTTGGCATCTGGCAGCAGAGACCGTTATATTCTGTTACGTGATACACGTGCTTCAGCCAATTCTGGTGGTGGACCCGCTGGTCATCTACCTATCACAAATCCCTCTAATACTTCTGTACTAACTGCTGAACTTGCTGATAGGGATGAAATTATGACTGATTTCAATTCCATTAGTTCACCGAGTCACATTGATCAAGTAGAAAGTGATTCAAACTATCCACGGGCTTCAACACCTATGGTATCGATCAGTAGCGACCTTCCGGAAGTTGATCCTCCAAGTACACCAGCTCAAATGGATATAGATATGCTTGGGTTTCGAGATGCGGATCACGGTTCGTCATGGTCTGCTGCAAGGACTTCAGCAAATTCCACTGTCACCCAGACTACTGCTTTACAGTCAATTGAAAATGGGACAGATCGCCTTGTTCCTGGAGCAGTACGTGTGCTGAAGGATCATAGACAAGAGGTTTGTGTGCGAAAATGTACTTTAGTGATATTTTTCTTCAAAGTAAAATTTCTGATTGCTTATTTATATCCTGAAATTTAATTGTGATTTTATCACCACTTCCTGCGTTACAAACCCATATCATTATCAACCAACACCAAAAATTACTATCTTATTAGCAAGTTTCGTGTCGTATCATAAGGTGACTACAAGTTGTAATTTATTCACATTATCATCTAAAAACATCTTAAATTTTATTTAATCATTCATTGTTAGCATGTTCCATTTTTGCGAAATAAGTTTTCTAGCATTGATATATATTGTTGGAATTAATAGGTATGTGGGTTAAAATGGTCTCCGGACAGCCAGTATTTAGCGTCAGGAGGTAATGACAATCGTCTACTCGTTTGGAGTCAACATGCACCGTCTACTGGTGGCCCTGTCTTAACTTACGAAGAGCATGTGGCTGCTGTCAAAGCAATTGCATGGTCGCCTCATCAGCATGGATTACTCGCAAGCGGAGGTGGTACAGCTGATCGTTGTATTAGATTCTGGAATACATTAACTGGTCAGGCTTTACGTAGCGTTGATACTGGAAGTCAGGTAAATGATCCATGCTAACGATTTATTATTTAGTAATTTTAGTTTTTTTTTTAAATGGTTATTTTTGATAATAAATCAGAAAGTAAATTGGAAATTAGCTTATTAATGCCAAAGAATAGATTGTTATTTCATTATTTAGCTCTCATGTGGTTGTTTGTTTAATGCAAATGTTATGAATGTTAGATTTCTGTGTAAATTTCAGTGCTATAATTACAAAAAGACATTATACTTGTTATTTAGTAAGTCGATTTACGTGGTTTTGGTTTTGATTATACATACAAGTGTTAAATGGATTTTTTTTCATATTTTTTTAAAATTTTTTAGGGTTTGTGAAATATAGGTGACTGTTTCAACTAGTATTTATACACGTATAATCTAAATGTAGACACATTTGAAGTATGTCGGTAGTTGGATTCGTGTTTATTATTTTCGTAAGATTTAAGCAAATTGTCTGTGCAAACACATCACTTCAGTTTCAGAATGTTTATATAGATTGGTACATTTTAGTTATTTCTTCCTAGTCGATCGGCTAGTTTGGACTGTAATGTGGTGTTTTAGTTAAAGAAATCGACTGTGTAGAATTTACTGTTTATACTACCGTTTGGTCAGAAGTTCGTCGGACGTCGCTCCACTCAGTATTATGTGTTGGCAACTGGCTATTGCCCCTAGCTATCAAACAAAAACTAGCAGAAAGTTGAATATAGAGGCCTACAAATGAGCTTCACTAAAATCTACATTGAATAAATAATGAAAACAATTTTGCATGCTCTATATCGTATTAATTAAATGTCTTTAGGACTTTCTCATCGAAAGTCTAGTCTAAAACTTCACTATTCATCCTAACATTTGGAGAAACATGTTTCGAAAGCTACTATCTGGGTCGTATAAACAGCTTATTTTTGTGGAACTTTCACTTGTAAAGATCTCAAGTAAAATGAACAATTATCTTTTCTTAATGCTTTAAATAAATTGTATTACGTGAATTTATGTAAATAAAAATTGTTACTTAACTGTGTACTCAACAAAAACTAGATGTCTATATTGTTGACTGGTTTACATTTTGACTAGGTTTGTAATATTGCCTGGTCCATACATAGTAATGAATTGGTCAGTACACATGGTTACTCACAGAATCAAATTCTTGTTTGGAGATATCCTAGTCTAACGCAATTAGTCAAGTTGGTTGGGCATTCGTATCGTGTGCTGTACTTAGCAATCAGTCCAGATGGCGAGAACATAGTAACTGGTGCAGGAGATGAAACACTTCGCTTCTGGAATATATTTACTAAAGCGAAAACCCCAAAGGTTAGTGTACTAAGTGTTGTTTATGTCGTTGTTTTTTTTATATTTCGACATTGTATGAATGGTTGGTCGGATCCTCTAGTTTTGATCTCTTCATGCATTTTGTTATGAAATGATTTTATCTGTGGTCAACCAATGCAATTCCAAATAGTTAGGATGTTTTTCCCACAGTACACTCACAGAGCATGCAAATATTACTCATCTCTATGGGGTGAATTTTTCACTAGCATTCTAATCATTAATTTTCCTATCTAAATTAGTTTTTTTGTTGCATACTGTCACGATCGAAGGGAACAACGTAAAGTCACACACAAAAGTCGTCGAGTTAATTTTTTTAAACAGCAAATCCGGTAAACCAGGCAGGTTTCTGACCTGAGCGTGAATATATAGAGCAAATATTCACCCTTCGACAGGTTATGCATAATAGGTATAATTTCTGACGTTCAGCTATGGTTGTCTTCTTTGACCTTAAGGTAGCGTTCGACTTGGTTGATCGTGAGCTTTTGTTAGTGTTTTTCACGTAAAGGCGTACCAAAGAAGTAGATTAGTCGTGTACAGGCTCTCTACTCAAACGCTGTTCGAGTCAGAGCTTATGGCGAACTGTCATCAGAATCGTTTACTTCAAATGGTGTTCGTCAAGGTTGCTCGCTTTCTCCACTTTTATTTAATTTCGTCGTAGACATGCTTTAAGAGATAATACTTTCATCGTCTTACTTTCTAGGGGTTGGTCTTCTATAAGGAGATTCGCTTGTTGACTTTGAATACGCAGATAATATAGTTCTGTTTGTTGAAGACGCTGAAAAAATGCAGTCGTCTGACCACCTTAAGCAACAATACAAGCATGTCTGGAATGCAGTTCTCTCCCTCCACATATCAAGTGTTTCTTCGGAATTTGCTTGCTTCATCGCCTGAGTTAGTGATAGGGAATAAAGTAGTTGGACGCATCGACCGCTGCACTTGGGAGTCTCATCAGTCCTGGTGGTCTGGTGTCTGACGAAATCTCGGCACGGATTCAGAACGTTCAGTTGGTTCTAGCCAACTTGCGTCACTTGTGGTGTAGGCAGGATATTCGCCTTCTACCCAAAGGATGAGTTTACTGTGTAGCAGTTCGTTTTATCCTAATTTATGGCTGTGAAAAATGTCCATTAACAACAATAAGGGATATTCGTACGTTACCAATGTTCGTTTATAGGTGTCTTTAAAGCGTTTCTCATGTATCTCAGGACCAGTGAGTGACTAGAGCCTGGGTTAGGAATAAAGTTCTAAGTGAAGATGGGAAATCGATTGATGAGGCTGTAATTCATCATCTGAGGTGTTTTACGTAGGTCCAGCCACTGTTTACCTCGACGGGTGGTGTTTTCTGGTGCAGGAGTAGGCTGTAAGAAAGCTAGGGCGGCCAAACCAAGGCATCAGTTCACGAAATCACTGACAGTTGGATTTAGCCATGTTATTAGGTGTAGACTACCTGGTTGGTGTCCGTGTGATTATCGTAACTAATAATTAGAGACTTTCAAGGACATGGTTCAAGATTGGTAAGCAGAGATGAACTCGTCAGCTGGATGTACCTGCATCTCAGAGTTGATGTTCACTCTGGGACTCGAACCCAGTACCCTCGCTTCAAACGCCATCGCGTTATCCACTCGACCACTGAGTCCTGATAGCCACTTCAAACAAACAATACTGAATGAATGGTTCAAGATTGTTTGAAATGGCGCAGATGCATCCGCTCTTCGTTTCCCCCAAATCCTAAGATTCGAGATTCCGCATAACTTTTGTTTTTAATTCACTAACTTATATTTTCTTCTTGAGTGATGTCCTCGATGTCTAGTTTTTTCTATAATCATTGATATTGTTACTACCTCTACCATTTTGGGATTTGGTCTGGGAATTTAATCTCTGTGTTAATGGAGTTTAGGAACTTGAACCGATATACATACGTACTAGGTTTTACGTTGTGATCGACTGTGTAATTTGGTGCATTTGTTTTTAGAAAATTCTATGAATTAGTAACCTGCCTAATAGTTATATTTCGTTGTAAGTTACCTCTTAATTTCACTATAGTACTCAAGTCTGTACCAATTACTGTAAATATGAAGCATTTCTGTTGACTTAACATACAGATTGGTAGCCTTATGTTTGAGAATACTGATCCATAATCATTTTATAACATTAGATGACTGACTGCAAACAGCAGATTAAAAAAGTACTTGTAAATAGACAATCAAATACACTCTTTGTCGTTAAATAGATGTATTTTATAAACATGAGTAGTTGAAAGCAAACTTAGTACAGTGGTATTCATTTTATGTTGAACAGAGTTATAATGTTCATAGAATCACACCAGTTAATATTTTAGTATGGATGTAAAAAGTGGTAATTTTATGGTAAACGAATTTTTATATTATGCACAAATATATATATATATATATATATATTCAGTACCACTAACTTTTGTGCTACCGTATGTTTCACAATTTCAAACTGTCTCACATTAGATTCATTGATTTTTATTAGGTGCAACCATCTTCACTGAACTTATTCAATGGAATTAGATGATCTATCTAAAAAGAAGTCTTTCAAAACTGTTGTGGATATTTCTCCAATGTGTTTTATTCTACTTAGTAAATATATCTATCGCCAACAATGTGCGCACATTAATTATATGCTATCTATGCATATTACTCGACTATATTATTCATCTCTGTAAATATATGATTACTTATTGATAGCAATTTCAAAAATGTCAATAACTATATATTCCGTTATTGACAACTACATTCTTGTCGTATGTATCAACGCCATAACTTATTTTCTACAGGTCTTCTTGAACTTTTGACTTTTACTTCAGTCAATCCAATTTTATGCAAAATTATATGGTTGCTCCTTATTTCTGTCTTTACTTATTACATATTCAACAAACCAAAATAGTAATCATTACTAATTTATATTTTCCTCACAAGTGCTTGTCTTTGTGAAATTGTACTTATAATATATTTCTTAGTTTTTAATTCCTTTAAATAACACATTGTGTGAGCCATTGTGTATCTGTTCATCCTAGTCATTTGCGACAGCTTTTTCTTTTCTTTTGATCTATTTGTATTTTTCTTTTGGCTGTCTGTGTCGTATTTAATTCAACTTTGACACTGTGATAGTCTTCCTCATAATAATAATAATAATATATATGTACATATATATCTAATGTGCAGCGAAAATAAAACATCGTCTTAGCTACTATTGTTTTCTTGGTGTACTACATAATGTGGTTTAGTCACATATTTATTTCATACAAAAAACTCAGGTGCTCTTATCAATTGATACTTGCGGTGAAATATTGACGAGTCGATGTGTAAAATACTTGTTTTGCACATTAGTGTCTTTAGTATTAAATTATCTGGTCCAGGAAGTTTATCATTCTTTGATCATAACTAACTGTCTTATCCTAATGGATGGTAATAATAAAAAGAATGCGATTCTGGACTTTGAGTGTGTTGTTAGTTATTATCGCTAAGATTGAGAAATCCATGCAGTGATTATAAGAGAAGTTTATCGATAAAATACGTTTATTCAGTCAAATTTTCTTTCCTTTGCAAAAATTTGTTCCACTCAGTTCCCGTAAGAAATATTTTGACTTACGTTACCTTTATAAATTCTACTGGGACTGCAAATTCATGATGTGCAGTGAGGTGTATACTAGTATAGATGTATCATGAAATGTTATTGTGGTTCTTAGGGAAAAGAGCGTGCGAAAAGATCTGTTTAAACTAGTTAGGTAAGTGTAGTTTCCAGATTTTTCAGTTTAAATAGTGTTATTTATTTTCACTTGTGGAATTTCCAAGGCATTGAAAATAACTTGCTCAATGTAATTTTATTATAATACGTATATGTTGTACTGGTTATGGTATTTTTATTGAAATAGTGAAAAGTTCCACTAAACAGATTCTTATCACGATTACACTCTGAATAGGTTTTCAACTATTGTAAACCTGAAAGTGATCCTTGATCAAGAGTACTATAAAGTAGCTATAGAAATTTGTTCTAATAACAGTGTATACTTCATTATTTTTAACTTAATTTGGTTGAATATAAAAGTTGAGTAAGTGGTAACTATCATAGCTCTACACCATAATGGATAACGCCTTGAGTATTAAATGAGATATAATATTTCATATTTTGAAGTATTTGTTACATTTTTAGGATCAATTACTTTATTTTAAGGACATAGTAAATTACCATTGCGTAATCAATGCAATGTTTGCTTCATTTTATAATGGTAATAGCATTGAGATGTAGTTTTCTCATTGGTGTAACTCATCATCATTATATCTTATGAATATTTAATCTAGTTTATTTCATAATCGAAATCAGATCACTTGCGAAGACGGTTGTGAATTTTTACTTAATTAACATTATTATAATTCAAGAAGAAGAATAAAGTTACAAAGAAAATAATCCGAACAACCGTGATAGGTAAAGAAATTATAAACGACTCCTCTATCCTTTTTTTCAGACTCATGTGTAATGTTGCATCCTTCCATTTGCAATCTGACTCCAAAATCTAATAACGGGTATATTTTTATTCATAGGGTTGTAGACTTCTGAATAGATTCATGGTACAATATAACTAGCTTAGTATGATTTAGTACCATTATCGACTATTTAATCTGATGTTTATCATGGTTTATCTTCAGGGTTACTTCAATTTATAGCTTTGACAAATCTATCATCGGCGGTCAATTAATTTACTTGGCAGGAAATAATTAATTTTAAGCTAGTTTGTACCAAGTTGTGAAACTAGTCAGACAACTAGTTCACTAATGACACTGATAATAAAATTATGATGATAATGATACAAGTTAACTGAAATTGAATTATTTAGACCATCATATTCCAGCCATAGTGATTGAATGACTTTATGTCTGTAAATCGAGGTTATTCGCACATTACCAGTTTTTGATGATGATTGTCTTCTAAGTATTGCTTTCGTGTGTCAGGAGCATCAAGTGGACAGTGTCGAGGTTAGACGCGGAGTACCAGATAAAGGCGATGAATTGGTTTATCAGAATAAGTTTCCGTCTACTAATGTGGTAAGGATATTTGTTATACACGTCCTACTTCGACTTCACTGTTTGTAAGAGTAGGTTAGAAAAAGGCTAGAAGCAGCTGCTAAACAAAAATGTCGCATATTGTCAATGTCCGTTGGACTAAGTCATCTAGTTAGATCTAGACTGTCTGTATGGGATTCGTATGATTTTTGTAGCCAATAGTTCAAAAATCGCTCTCAGAAATGCAGGTGCATTCACTTTTCTTTGATTTTGAGTTTTAAAGTTATGTTAAACTTTGCCATTTCATAAATTCATTACTCTCGAATAATACTGTCTATGTGTAATGTTTATTCTACCACTGATACTTCTACTTTTGAATTAATCTTGATAATTCCTTATACTAATGTGATGTAAGAACTTAGACCGATACACATATGTGGCTGGTTCTGTGGTTTTAAATTAATATGGAATTTTAATTTAACTCATATTTCAGTATTTCTTCATTTGGTATCCAACATTTGATAAAAATCATCTGAAATAAGCAACTTATACTGAGATCGATCGTTAAATTATCAAATAAATACCAGTTTTTATACCAATGATCAACAATATCATAATGGATGCATTTATGATTATATTTGTATTATGTCTGAAAATCTAATTTTACGAATCCTATTTTGCATTTCGATTATACCATTCTGATATTGTCACAGATCCTACTTGGATTAAGATTGATAGGTACAACTTACTGATAAGTTCCAACAAAATGGGAACATATGCTCAGTGCTTTCTGACAATCTCTTCATCATCTAATATGAGAATTAAATATACTCCAGCTACACCTTAGCGTTAATGCTTATGTATAAATGATGGAAGATATCATGTTAAATTAATAACAGCCCAAGTATGATGACTTGATAATTGAATGACTTCAGAATTTCATTCAAAAAATATTCAGTGAAACACACTTGGATATTTTAAGAAATTCATGTTCTTACCATATTCTCTAACAATTATTATGTCAATTAAATGGATGATGACGATCATTTGAAAATATCCACTTGTTTCAATTTCATGCATACAAACACATACATACTGGCATCATCGTATAGATTTTAATAAGTGGTTTGACATGGTGTGATATTATTTCACTGTTACGTCATGATTATACATGTATGAATTTAAGGTGATAAAATAATCATAATTCCATTTCATTAGGTTTTACTTTAAACAATATAACAGTTTATAACTGTCATATGCAATACTTCTCACTGATTCTTCCTCTCATTTTCTTTAAAGAGGCTTTTATATATGCATGTCTGTATGTGTGTCATATTTTTAACATGTATAACTATACATTTTTAGCAGAAATTAAGTTTAATTGCTCTTATCAGGTTAGAATTCCTGTGTGTGTCTTGCACAAGATGATACTTTTTTTTCGACACGAGAAGCAAAGGAGTTGATAGTTCTACATGGCGTTTACAGTATCAGCTAAGTCTCTGATTATCTATCACAGGGAGAGTATGCTAGATAATAGCCCTGTCGGTGATGTACGAATGTAAGACGTCGTTATTACATGTGGAAGATATTTGTAGATTACAAAATTTTGATAATAAGTATCTTTGAGCTATTGCTCGCGTGGGGGGGATGGTCAATATTTTGAGTTGTTGAAGTTAGATTCAAAGTTCTAGGCTAGGAATACAATACTAAAGTAGCTTGGTCATATTGCACATTCTGAATCTCTTTTTAATTTGAGGCAAGATGCTCGTTGAAATGGGTTCATGATATATAAGAAAGTGTTGGTTACAAGGCCAGGCCATACTTCCAGACCATGAATTCTTAGAATGTTAGCTAGTTATTTGATGGAGGGCTGCAAACTTTTTAGTTGTGAATACTAGACACAGTAATTGGAGACGTTAGTTATCATTGCTCATAATCGATCATTTTGGCGTAGATATATTTACTGTTGATGCTGTGGTCTCCGAGTTGAACAATTTAGTTGTGAAGCAACGACTGTGAAAAACACTATGCAATACAAGCAAGGTCACACTCTTCGTTCATGTCTACATAAAAACCAACCTCGAAAACGTCGAGATATTGTATAGAAAGAACATCAAGAGAACAGGAGAATCTTTACAAGTCTGGGACTTTTCTAAATGCCCACTATCTGAATCAAATACGATCGAATCGTTATTGGTCTAGACGAGATATCGATTCCACTTACAGCTTATTTGTTCTTTCAGTAAATCCCACTAATAACAATGAGTATATGCGTAAACGACAAAATTAGCAGGAAAGTCGGAATGGTTCATTTGTCGAAAAGCTGGAGTACATCGAGTAATAAAGTAGAAGCCGTTACAACTTTAATCAAGCATCAATCAATAGAGACATCAAAATCAACCAAATTTACTATTGATTGATCACTGAGTAGTGACTAATGTCATGTATATCCAGTCCTTCTTAGTGGTAATCGAATTCTAATCGACCCAGTTGTAATATGGGCGCTAGTCTGTGTCAAACATGAAAACGAAGTCTAGGTCTTCCTATCGGCTATCTCCAACCACCACCTTAAACCGACCAAGTTTACCAGTCTATAAGAAAAAGGACTAGCAGTTGTAATGTCAGAGTTCATGTCACGAGAGAAAACAAACTAATTCTAGGTCAACAAAACAAGTTGTTAGGCAATCATGAAGAGATCGCTCACTTCTTTAATGTTTTTTTAAAGGAACAATGAAAGCTCAGTTAAACCATCCCGTATAGATATTCTCTATTACTGTTCTAAATTTTTAACACTTGATTAATTCACTTTTCTGAACTTACATTCTTTTCGAGAATCACTTTATTTTCAGTTCATGAATTCACTACGTATAACAAAAACAAATAACAGACTGACATTCAGATACTTCAATGTTAATAATCACCTTAAATTCATACATGTATAATCATGACGTAACAGTGAAATAATATCACACCATGTCAAACCACTTATTAAAATCTATACGATGATGCCAGTATGTATGTGTTTGTATGCATGAAATTGAAACAAGTGGATATTTTCAAATGATCGTCATCATCCATTTAATTGACATAATAATTGTTAGAGAATATGGTAAGAACATGAATTTCTTAAAATATTCAAGTGTGTCAAACAACAGTTTAAAATTTTGATGATATATGTACACTCTAAA